CAAGATGCTCAATTACTGGGAGAGAGAGAGAGAGAGAGAGAGAGAGAGAGAGAGGAAGGGAGAGAGAGAGAGGGAGGGAGATGGGAGAGAGAGACTTGGAAGTATTGTTTAATAAAGGATGACAAAAGAATCACTTCAAACCTAAAGCACAAGTGGGCAGCAGTGAGGCTTGAAAGTAGAATACACCTCTCTCTCTCTCTCTCTCTCTCTCTGTCTCTGTCTCTCTCTGTGTGTGTGTCTTTCTCTGCTTTTGTCTTTCTTTCTCTCTAGCACACACAAACACACACATGCAAACACATACACATACACACAAACAGTAACAGAAAGAGTTAAATAATTAGTATTATTATTTGGTAAAGACTTGGAATATCTTAACTCTTCCATTTTCTTCGGACAAAAGTGTTTCATGTCCCCACATTTACAGTACTTGCTCAGATGAACCAGCAGGAGGCGCTTTAATCATTTCTTGTTTGTGTCAGTTTATATAATTTGTGAACAACTATGCCTCTAATAAAGTATATTCATTACACATACACGTACACTCCCAACACACCCTGCGTGTGCTGAATGTGAAATTCAGCCTTTTAATTAAAGCACACTGCTGGGGGTTTACATTTAAAATGATAATCACTAAACTGTGTGTAAATATATATAGAGAGATGGTCTCACAGTGGGGTCCCCAGGAAACAACAAACCAAAAAAGGTACGTTTTTGATATGATACAATTAAATCAAATATAGAATGGCAAATATTTCCAGTTCGAGTGTACAACATAATAACAATGTTCTATCTATCTGTATTTATGTAGAATCTTAAATGACAGGGAGTCATGGTGGTAGAGTCTGTGACTTGATAACATTGGACAAATCCTGTGTTAATAAATAACATACTATTTAAAATGTAAGAAGTAGAAAGTACAGGTGCCAACATGTAGAGGGTAAAACCACGTCAGTACCATATCTGTACCTGGTGAGTTTCTGTCCCCTGTTGACAGCTGGACAGCCCTCATTATCAGCTGCCTTCCCGCTCAGCTACTCCTCATAAGCTCCCCTGTACAAACTGAATAGGGAGCAGTTTACAATATGGAGGTACCACACTGGTTTCTATTGCCTTTTTGGTACCTACTCATTTTCTGACACCTTATAATTCTGTTTTAATAGTAACACCTGAGCTTTTCCTACTTTGATGAGTATGAAAAAGGTCTGTAATGGGCAACTACTCCTCTGAGACATGCAGTCTGCCTGAAATCTGCCCGGAAATTGACCAAAACCTTGCAGTCCTTGACAAAAGGTTGCATGCTGATTCAGTTGATCTCAGTGACTAAAACCATAAATACTGAATGCAAAAATACTTTTGGTCCATGTGAGGCTAGACTATCTCATTTGGGACAGAGAGAGGCTTGGACTTGGACAAACAGATGTTTGTTTCCTGTGTTCATTGGAGGATCTGATCCTTAGCAAGATCCTCCACCTGTCACATGTCAGAGACACATGGATCAAGGGCTGCACAATACACAGTAAAAACATCACATTGTGATATTACTTCATTATAATGCTGTTTGTCACATTTTACCTTCATCTGAAAGTTATATTATAATATGTTATGTTACACCCTTGGTGTAAGAAGGA